AAAATCTTAAGTTTTTATTAGATTGCCTGTCGTAACGATAGTCAAAATCTTAAATTTTTATTAGATTGCCTGTCGTGTTGCCTGTCGTGATGACAGTCAAAATCTTAAATATTTATTAGGATGTCTGTCGTGACGAGTCAAAATCTTAAAATTTTTTTTAGGTCGCCTGTCGTAACGACAGTCAAAATCTTAAGTTTTATTAGGTTGACTGTCGTGATGACAAAGAATTATACGCGTTACGCTTCGGGTAAGTATTATTTTTGATGGTTAGAACGTAATGAAATAGAAAAAAAAGGGTTCGAAATGGTCTGTCGAGATGACAGTCAAAATTTGCATCATGGTGGATATTTGCACGAAAGCAGTAGGACAGACTACCTATAATTATATTTCATGGGTTTTTAAAAACACCTCGATGAGATACAAAACCATTTTTTTTCTCTTCGCGTAATCAAGCAAAACGTATAAAATCACGTGAGTGGATTGTGATTGGTAGATGAGCGCAATGAAATAAAATTTTATGGCACTAAAATCGGCTGGCATTATGAGGACAACAGCAGAGTGGATGGAAATTATTCATCTAAATAGCATTAGGATTAGGGTGTTTTGTTAAAAAATAGGTTTAGACTGTCGTTTTCTGTATTTTTATATATTTTTTTTTTGAATATCCTGATCTGCATAATTCTGCCAATTAGTGTTCCGCAGAAAAAGATCCGAACGGATCCGGTATTTTTGACGGGTATAAATTTAGCATTTCACAAAGGATACCAGAACCGAAACTGTACGTATAATTAATATGGAAAACATACTATCGGCAATAGGCACCATTTGCCTCTCACATGCTTCTATCGCCATTGGCAGGTCCTCCAAAACTGTCCATTCGGATCCGGTTTATGTAGCGAGTTTGAAAGACTTCTACTGGCTAATGGTACATGTGAGAGACAAGTAGAGCCTGTTGCCCGTAGCGTGTTTTCCATATTAATTATATGTACATTTTTAGTTCGAGTATCCTTTGTAAAATGCTACTTCAATACTCATTAAAAATTCCGGATCCGTTCGGATCTTTTTTGCGGAATACTAGTTCACAGTGTTGACAAATGATTTTTAAATGACATAAATGACATTGTGACATTGTCATTTGTCACAAATGACAAAAATAGTTTATATTTAAAAATGTTAAGATCTCAAGATTGATAAGGTCTTATGTTGCTTCGGATATTTTAGGATTGGTTAGACCCTAAAACACCCGAAGTTTTAACAATCTTGAGATCCTGTGATTGGTTAAAATTTGTTATTTTAAATGACAAAAATAATAAATAACCTTTGTCATTTGTCACTAAAATTTTAAATAACATTGTCATTTGTCAACTCTGATTGTTCATGTTTGAGAGTTAGGCAGAGGATAAATTCAGTAAAATGCCGGTGTACCTAAAATATGAATACAGTAAATAGATAAATACATGTAACACACTAAAATCATATAATTTGCCCTATCATATCGCATAATCATGGGGGCGTGTTAGCAGTTAGTAGTCACCTGACAAAAACCAGACAAATATTTACAAATTATTCAAATACTAATAATTTTTATTCATGTGACATTGACTATAACGTATCTGGTGACTTTAACTCGGGCGAAAAAAATAACCAAAATTTGGCAAATATTTAAAAATTTTTTTAAGCCAAAAATTGACAAATATTGAGAATGTATCGTTATTGATGATAATCATTTAGTGCAGGTCACCTGAGAAACGGTACACAAGTACGCATTAATTTGATGGCACAATGTTTTTAATATAAAACTGTTATAATAACGAAGCATGAGTCAAATTTACACCAAATTACCAAATATTTAATGGAAAGAAATTGATTTTTTTTATAGAACGTGTGATCAATGCAATTAGGCGGTAGTGATAGTTACTTTTGATACCTATGGAATATTCTGAAGGTGATACTTGAAGGTATATTAGGAAATTTTCATTAGAATAACACTAACTATAAATGGAAGATTAAGCTTTCATTCTTCTAAAGAAAGTAACACAAATGTATAGTTTTCGTCATCTTATGACAAAGGAACCTATATACAGTAGTAAACATTGAAAAAGTGAAGACTCTCCGGTACTCCGACTGATATAAAATCCCCATCAATCAGTGACAGGAATGAATAAATTTTAAAAACAAATTGTAAAGATGTCTAAAGGCCCATGGAACGACGAAGTATGAATCATTTATATGATCATTAGCATTAAATTGAAAACCAATAACGATAACGATTTTCAACTAATTTTCAACTAAATTTTATAGGAGGATATTAAATTATCCCAACTTGTTGAAGAAATTCTTAAACAGCAAGCACAAATACAATGGGTAGAAATAGGAAAACAGATGAACTCTCGAACAGCCAAGCAATGTCGAGAAAGGTAAAAGCATAACGAATTTTTTTAAAAATTTGATTAAATCGAGTTCCAATTTATTGTTAATCTTATTGAGACTAAAATATATATATATATATATATATATGAAATTTATACGTAGATACAAACATCATCTTGATCCTACAAGTAAATATATAAAATATATATACAGAATATGTATTATTTTATTTCAATCTATTTTATACTAAATTTATTGAAACAAACTACGTAGTTAACCGAACTTCACTCAGTGAAAAAGAAAAAGATATAGTCTGGGACTGTCAAAGAAAAGGAATAACATCGTATGCGTTGATAGCAAGGTCGATTCCTGGAAGAACACCACTACAAATTAAAAATTATATTTATCGAGAAAAAGCTAAAGAGACAGCAAGAATTAAAGCTAAAATGGCAGTACCAAATATTTGCAATATTTCAGCAGCTAAAAGATTAAAGAAAAACATAAGAGGGGGTTCGGAAGATTCAGCAACTAGAAGACTAAAGCAAAACTTGAAGAGAACTTCGAGAACTTCGAACATTTAATAGAATAATACTATATAAATATTATATAATTTAATTTTGAAATCTGAAATTATTTTTGTTTCAAGCGGGCCTTGTACAAACTTAGTTTTAAATGATATTCATTTCTAAGCTTGTTATGTAGCGAGAGCTATATTTATGCGTTCTATGATTGCTATATGACATGCTATTCTGTATAAACATTATATGCAATTTCAATATTTTAAATATTTTAAATATTTTAATAATTGTTAGATTTTCATCCATAGGCATAAACTTTTTTGATTCTTTTTTCAAATAAAACATACTTGATCTTTTTTTTTTTTTATTAAGGTTGTTATAATAAAGACGGTATCTATAGATAGTACTTGTTATAGTAATGTTGAATTTCGATCTTTCAGATCATTTCCTAACATTTAGAAAATAATAAGTTTTCTATTTTAAGTCATAGGTGACTCCTTTAGCGCCTAAGCACTGTTCATTGTACACAAGAAACAACATACTCTCTTAATTAAATAAATTATAAAAAAATGATAAAACGATTTAACCCTTTTCCTAACCTTTTTCTTAAACATTCAAAAACGCGGTATGTATGATATTCTCCTGATGACGACGGAAACCCTTCTACGTAAAGGATACAAAGCTTGATGAAATCTATTTTATTAAATTTAAATATGAAAAAAATTATATCTTAACGATGATACGTATTAAAATTAACGTTAAATGATAGTATCAATAGAGTAACTAAGAAATGGGATTGCTGAATTCCGGAACGCCACTTTGCATTTACATACAGAGAGAACTTTAATTTTTTGGACACTAGGTTTAGGTTTCTTAGATGTCACATGGAAATGTCACATGGAGCTAAATACACATGAAAATTTGCTTATTTAAACTATAGACGTAACATTTGAGCAAGCCTAAACCTAGTTTTAAAGTTCCCATCGATTTTTTTTCTATATATATATATATTATATTTAAAATTTTAAACAGATACCAACAGATACGTAATTTAACAATTCAAGTATTTTTTTTTTACAGTATAACTGTATAAACTTGTATTTATTTATATTAAGTTTGTTTATTTCTATTGACACTCGCTTCCAATTGTAAAGAATATACGTATGTATTTTATATCGATACCTTTCTCCAAGCAAACTTGAACTATTAAACAATTAACGTTAAAGGTAAAAAAAAGATTTATTATTAAACACTG